AGTATTTGTAGACAGGATGAAGTCTGAGTAGGTATCTGTTGTAGGCAGATGACAACACTACAGACCTACACAGAGAAATAAAATTAAGTGTAGGGGGTTTATTTATTTTAAAACCCACTACTCTATACAGAGATGAGCAGATGGAAGAGTTTTAAATATGTTGCAGACAGCTGCTTTGACTTTGTGGCATATAGTGAATAGTAGACAGTAGTAAATGTTTTGAGATTCACTGTTGTGGATTAGATACAAAAATGTGTATCAGTTACAATGAGCATGGAAGATGGAAGACAGATAACACAGAGAGCCACAGGAATGAGAAGGTTGCAAAATTTATTAGCTCTATAGAATCAAAGAGGTTCTTTGTCCTAGTGGCTGTCTCTATCTTGCAGAGTTTATAAGCTCCACATGAGTTCACATCCTGGGTGGCATTCACTGGCCCTGATGGAGTCAGCTGAATTTATTTACTCACCCAAAGTATACAGCAAAGTTCAACTGGCTCCCTAAGGAAGACCTTGAGGGTTAAATAAACTTTAGTGTGTCATTCAAAAATTAATCATCCTCATTTTTTAAAAACACGCAAGCCATTAGTCCTCCATGACAACAACGAATAAACAACCCAATGTAGAGTTCCTAAATACCAAGTCTGGATGTTTGATTTGAAATTAATTCTTTTAAAAAAGGTTAAGGGATGACTTGATTACAGTCTACAAGAACATACATGGAGAACAGATATTTGAGAATGGTCTCCTCAATCTAGAAAGGTATAACACCATCCAATGGCTAGAAGTGGAAGCTAGACAAATTTAGACTGGAAACAAAGTGTAACGTTTTAACAGTGATGGTAATTAGCTACTGGAACAATTTACCAAGGGTCATGTGAATTCTCCATCATGGGAAATTTTTAAATCAAGATTAGATGTTTTTCTAAAAAGATACAGTCTAGGAATTATTTTGAGGAAATTCTATGGCCTGTGTTATACAAGAGGTCAGACTAGATCAGGGATCGGCAACCTTTGGCACGCATGTCAGGGTTCCCTCCCCACTCTGAACTCTGGGGTACAGATGTGGGGACCCGCATGAAAGACCCCCTAAGCTTATTTCTACCAGCTTAGGTTAAAAACTTCCCCAAGGCACAAATCCTTCCTTGTCCTTGGTTGAGTAATGCTGCCACCACCACTGAGTTAGACAAAGATTCAGGAAAAGGACCACTTGGAGTTCCTGTTTCCCTAAAATATTCCCCCAAGCCTCTTCACCCTCCTTTCTGGGGAGGCTTGAGAATAATATACTAACCAAATAGGTTAACAAGGTGAGCACAGACCAGACCCTTGGGTTTTTAGGACGCTAAAAACCAATCCGATTCTTTAAAAAACAGAACTTTATTATAAAGGAAAGAGTAAAAGAAGCACCTCTGTAAAATCAGGATGGAAAGTAATTTTACAGGGTAATAAGATTCAAAACAGAGAGGATTCCCCTCTAGGCAAAACTTTAAAATTATAAAAAAAACAGGAATAAACCTCCCTCTTAGCATAGGGACAATTCACAAGCTAAAACAAAAGATAATCTAACACATTTCCTTCCTATTACTTACAATTTGTAATCTTAGATGCTTAGTTCAGGTATGGCTTTGGGAGATGTATTTTCCCTGCCCTGATTCCTCGCTGACCCAGAGAGAACACCCAGAGAGAGACAAAACAAAAACCTTCCCCCACAGATTTGAAAGTATCTTCTTCCCTTATTGGTCCTTTTGGTCAGGTGCCAACCAGGTTATTTGAGCTTCTTAACCCTTTACAGATAAAGGAGGGATTTTATGCTACCCTTAGCTGTATGTTCATGACAACGCGGCTTGCCAGTGTAAGCACCCTGGCGGGCCGGACCAGTTTGTTTACCTGCCGTATCCGCAGGTTCAGCCGATCGCGGCTCCCACTGGCTGCGGTTCACCGCTCCAGGCCAATGGGGGCTGCAGGAAGCGGCAGCCAGCACATCCCTCGGCCTGCGCCACTTCCCGCAGCCCCCATTGGCCTGGAGCGGCGAACCGCAGCCAGTGGGAGCTGCAATTGGCCGAACCTGTGGACGCGGCAGGTAAACAAACCATCCCGGCCCACCTAGATAATCATAATGGTCCCTTCTGGCCTTGGAATCTATTGATTGTTTTTCCTCATTTTTTTAGTGCATAACTTGAGATACCTGGTACCTGATTTGCAGAAGTGCTGAACACATAACTGCAACTGAATTCAATGGGAATTCTGCTCTGAGCAAATGAAGTGCTATAGAATGCTAAATTCTCTGAAAAAAATCAAGGCTTAGATGTCTCAAATTGGGCAAAGTTGGAACACACTTCTGACCTTAATCTCTGTATGCTTCAGTTCTTCATCTGTAAAATGGGCATAATACTACCATCTTAACCATGGAGTTGTGAAGATAAATTTATCAATGTTTGAGAAGGACTCAGGCCCAGATCCTTAAAAGTACTTAAGTGCCTAACTCCCAATGATTTCAATGAGAGTTAGGTACCTAAATACCTCAGTTCCATAGGCGGTGAGTTATATTCTTTTGTGGTGCCCGGGCTCCAGGAATATTCAGGGCTAGGGGCCCTGCTCCACCAATATTTGCAGCTGGGTCTCTCCCCCGGCGCTGCCTGGAGTGGGCCCCAGCCCCCGCCTGCCACCCCTCTCTCCGCGCGTCTCCCCCCCTGCCCTGCCGCGTCCCTGCCTGAAAGAAAGTGGCGCGCGCCTCTCCAGTGCCTGCTTGTGCTGCTGGTGTAGCACATTCCTACGCGGAGCGGTATCCTACACTACACCGGCTCCTGGCATCAACTGCTGTCTGCTGCCCCAGGGTCCTAGTGCCCCCCCTCCCCTAATGGCAGGGCAGGCTGCCCTTACCCCACCCTAGCCCTAGCCTCTCCAACGCCCCAAACCCCTCATCCCCCTGCACCCTAATCCTCTGCCCCAGCCCTGAGCCCCCTCCTGCATCATGAATCCC